TGCATTTCATTTATTTTTACATAATCATCTCTATCGATGTCCTCATGGTATTAATTTGGCATGTAGTTGGCAGTATTTGAACATTTACCCCTTACCTGTTTTTATTCCTATACTATTTTATTATGATTTGAGGACTTTGGATGTCTGTAACATTCATCCCTGGCTTATCACATCCTTTTTTTTTCTAGAGACAGAGTCTCACTTTGTCACCCTCAGTAGAGTGCAGTGGCATCACAGCTCACGGCAACCTCCAGCTATTGGGCTTAGGTGATTCTCTTGCCTCAGCCATCCAGGTAGCTGGGACTACAGGCGGCTGCCACAATGCCTGACTATTTTTGTTGTTGTTGTTACAGTTTGGCCAGGGGTTTGAACCCACCACCCTCTGTATATGGGGGCGGCACCCTACTCACTGAGCCACAAGTGGTGCCCCAAGCTTGTCACATCTTACACATATAACTTAGTCTCTTACCACTTTTCAGGTAGTGCATCGGTCTTAAAGATCATAACTATTCCTTTCCTCCTACTTCTTCTCCTTCCTTCACTGTATGCAGAATCCCCAACCACTGTCCATTCTGCTCAGATTACAGGTTACTGTCAGTGGTTCTGTCTGCTGTTCAAAGTCAGATGGATAGTACTCCAATACCTCCATTTTCTGGAATAGCATTATATAAAATGTTTAAATTTCCAAATATTTTACCAAAAGTATGAATTTCATATTTATATGTAGAAATAAGAACAAGAATGCCCTAGATGAGCAGGACAAAATAGCTGTATATTTAGAATGAAAAGTAGAAGTTATAAAAGGAAATACAGGACAGACATAAAGTTCGTGTGCAATTTAAATGTCCACCCTGCATATTTGCATACATAAGCAATTTTTAAAAATCAACTGTGTTGCCTGCTGTGCAGACCACTTTCCTATCTACTATCTCACTGAAATGTTTCCCGGGCTCTTCTACACATCACCTCCACCATCTTGGTAATCACCAGTGCGCCTCTCCCAACCCATAGACCATTGATGAAAACCACATATCACTA